GCTGTTACCTTCCCACCAAAGGTGGTCCCTATTTTTCTACTTGCATTTTTACGTGCTTTCGAACTGCTAGGTTGGCAGAAGCTGGGACAAGTAATGGGAGCTCACTCCATTACACGGCACTAGGGATTCAAATCACCGAACTGCTGACCTTTCTTAGCCACTGAGCGTCTTAGCCACTGAGCCACCACCCCAAATTTAAAAGAAACTAATAAATTAAAGTAGCAACGTCAGGACCTCCTGTGCATTCTTACTGTACAGTCCTCAATTCGCAATCGTTCATTTAATGACCGTTCGAAGTTACAAGAGCACTATAAAAAGTGACTTATGTCTGGTTCACACAGCATCTCCATGGTCACACGATCAAAATTCAGGCGCTTGGCAACTGTCGTGTATTTGCAATGGTTGCAGCATCCTCGGGGGGAGGGGGTGTCACGTGATCACATTTGCAACCTTCCCAGCTGGCTTCCAACAAGCAAAGTCAATGGAAGAAACCAAATGTCTTTAACAACCATATGATTCACTTAAGTACAGTGGTTTGCTTAATCACCTTGGCACACAAAAAAAAGTTGTAAAATCCATTTTGCTTAGCAACAGAAATTTTGATCCCAATTATGGATGTAAGTTGAGAGAAGTACCTATATATTTTTAGACCTGCGGAGAATTTGGGGAGGAATGCATGTAAGAGATAGGAAATGTCCTACAATCCCCCTTCCCCTACCTTGTCTCGTTTAATTTGATTTTGAACTTTGTAAAGTGTATTCCCCCCCAAAAAATAATTTCAGGAATATTCTCCTGAATAGAGAATGGCTTGTGCATCAGGACTGCGATTTGCAAACACTTCTCTACAACAGAGGGGTTTAGCTTTCAGGGGCCACAGCTTTTTGTCTTTTCTACCACAAGCACACTAACACAAAGTCTGCTTGATTTTTTTGTAGGCACATGAGGACCAAACGAGAGCTGGAGCCCAAGAATGCAAAAACCAACATCCCCCCCGTTTTTGGACAGGACAGTAGCACCTCCGCCAGGAACAGTGCAGTGACTTTTCTCCCTATAGACATTCACACGCCCCAAAGAAGACTCTGAAGAGGCAGCAAGGGGAGGAATAATCAGCAAGAAGTGAACTCTGCAGATTCGTGAGGAATGGAGTGGCTCCCATGGTCCACGTTTCAGTGGTCTGCTGGTCACCAATTTTTTTCTTCATAGAAGACAAAAGATGACCTCTAGGGGCAACCAGGTTGTAGAAATAATATATAGATAAACTTTCCAACTGCTTATCAGAAGGGATGGTGAGAAGCACAGCTACCATCATTCTTGGAATCAATCGTGTCCTTCATATTTTCTTGCTCTTTAATTTAGGCCCCGGTTCCTATTGTCCTGTAAGTGAAAATGAACCTTCTGCTGGATGGAGGTGCTGAAGACGTCAGAGGACTTAGTCTTCATCTTGGTTGGTAGCAGATAATATAGGATCAATATTCTTTCATTTTTGGGTTCTAAAAAAGCAGAAGCAACCATTACCACCAGTTGCAACCCTCTTCTACCAATGGTCAACTTTCAAAGTTAGGAGTTCCTTTTTTTGTTGGCAGAGTTGCTGTCTTTCCATAGTTTAGGGCAGTATTTCTCAACCTCGGCTGCTTTAAGATGTGCTGGCTGGGTATTTCTGGAAGCTGAAACCTCTTAAATTTGCTCAAATTGAGAAACAGTTTACCCAGGCAAGCAAAGAACTGGATTTCGACAATCATGTTTTGTTAAGGTTGATTTTAACCAGCCTCATTTTTTTTTTGAGAATGAGTGTGTATTCTCCAAGTCATTTACCTAAGTGATAAATGAGTTGATAACATTAAATGGATCAAAGCTAGAATTTTAGGCTGCCTTGTCAGGACAGAAGGTAGATGGAGACCACTAGGACAGTGATGGCTAACCTTCTCTAGACCGAGTGCCCAAAGTGCAAGTGCATGCCTGAACCCCCAAACTACAATGCATGCGGTCCTGCACATGTGCTCCATCTCCCATGCATGCACGCCCCCACACCCTACATGCATGCGCATGTGCATCCCTGCATGTGCCCTGCCCCTGCGCATCAGAGACCCAAAGATCAGCTGGCACACCAGGAGACATGAGCACATGCATGGCAGAGCTGAGCTGGAACAACGGCCCGTGTGCCCACAGAGAGGGCATTGTGTGCCACCTCTGGCACGTGTGCCATAGGTTCGCCATCATGGCTCTATTCCAAAGACAATTTTTAGAAATTTGGTAAAAATTGCAAAAGCAACAAGAACAACTCACCATTGATAAAAATTCAAATTAAGTATCCAGCATTTGATTATAGTAGTTTCTAACCCGACTGGAATATTAGTAGCTTTCTATGAGAAAATGTTAATTTTTTCAAAATACAGTAATAAAATATCAAGATTTTATTATATCAATGTAATATGATAGTAGTATTTCATATAAGCTATCCTAGACTCATGACCATAATGGAGCCTGCCCATTAAGGTTGTAAGTCATGAAAGTTGTAAAACAAATTGTCTCCTGACTGATCTGAGCCGAGGTGGCGCAGTGGTTAGGGTGCAGTACTGCAGGCTACTTCAGCTGACTGTTATCTGCAGTTCAGCGGTTCAAATCTCACCAGCTCAAGGTTGACTCAGCCTTCCATCCTTCCGAGGTGGGTGAAATGAGGATACTGACTGTGGGGGCGATATGCTGACTGTAAACCGCTTAGAGAGGGCTGAAAGCCCTATGAAGCGGTATATAAGTCTAACTGCTATTGCTATTGCTAATCTCACCGGCTCAAGGTTGACTCAGCCTTCCATCCTTCCGAGGTGGGTGAAATGAGGACCCAGACTGTGGGGGCGATATGCTGACTGTAAACCGCTTAGAGAGGGCTGAAAGCCCTATGAAGCGGTATATAAGTCTAACTGCTATTGCTATTGCTAATCTCACCGGCTCAAGGTTGACTCAGCCTTCCATCCTTCCGAGGTGGGTGAAATGAGGACCCAGACTGTGGGGGCGATATGCTGACTGTAAACCGCTTAGAGAGGGCTGAAAGCCCTATGAAGCGGTATATAATCTAACTGCTATTGCTATTGCTAATCTCACCGGCTCAAGGTTGACTCAGCCTTCCATCCTTCCGAGGTGGGTGAAATGAGGACCCAGACTGTGGGGGCGATATGCTGACTGTAAACCGCTTAGAGAGGGCTGAAAGCCCTATGAAGCGGTATATAATCTAACTGCTATTGCTATTGCTAATCTCACCGGCTCAAGGTTGACTCAGCCTTCCATCCTTCCGAGGTGGGTGAAATGAGGACCCAGACTGTGGGGGCGATATGCTGACTGTAAACCGCTTAGAGAGGGCTGAAAGC